TGGTACAAGTCTATGGGGATCTGAAGCTGATGCTACTTAGGGTTGGGGGCTTAGGGCTCTTAAAGTTTAGTTTTTCTGACTTGCATGGCAGTTGTGTTGGCCGGTTCTCGGTTGAAGCACCCGCAGAGCGGATTAGATAGTAGGCGTGTGGCGCAAGCTTGACTAAGCAGTAAGATTATTCCCGAAGGATCCCCAAGAAAAGCCTATACATATCTATATATATATATAGATAGATATAGATAGATATAGAAACCCCCACCACCCTAGACGATTCATTCGGGTTTCTGTCTGAACCTTAGCCCTTTTCCCTGGCAACCCGGAGGTTGAAAACGGGGGCAGTAGGGGACCCTAGTAGTGAACCCCAGAAGGTTGAAACATGGATGTAGGATGATGAGTGCGAGGATCCCTTATACTCTATATTAGGGTCACTAGGGGCATGAGGATACAGATGTTCCAACTTTTCTGGCTTCTACTGCAACATAGAACCTTCACTCGCAGGATCCTCCTAAGTAAGGTTCTCGGTTAGCTTCCCAGAGACCCGCAAAACCACGGAATGAAGGAATGCACACCTTAAGCTATAGTAGGATCCCGGCATATGATTTATGGTATCTCAACCCTAAACCCTAAAGCCTAAACCCCTAAACCGTATCTTAAATTATGGTAGGATCCCTAATATGGTTTAAGGTAGATCCAAAAATGAAGGATTTTGGAGTCTCTGGGTTTCTGAAGCCTTGAGGGGTTGGGCGGGTTCCGCGATGCTCAGGTCTGGAACATCGTCAAAGGTGTCCGAGCCTCTTGCGAGGGGTTTGGGCCGGGTAGCTTTCAAAGGGTTCGATAGGGTGTGGTTTAAGGGTTTAGGGTAGCTTTCATAGGGTTCGATAGGCTGTTATACAAGTGCTGGGGTTGTTTGTTGGGTTGGATTTTGGATACGGTTTCACAAAGGCTTTACAAGGGTTTAATTAGAGCATGCAAATGTTGTACGAGCGCTTAGAGTAGATATAGAGGCCTCAATATGCAATACTTGTATCCCCTGGTCCTCTTTAGTTGCGTCATGGAGTTGTAGCGTTCACCCGAAGCTTGCTCTGAGCATGTCATGTGAGGAGTTTTCTAAATTAGGGTCCCTTTTGGGGTCCTTTTTTTATAAGGGTGCCGTACTATATTGGGGACCCAAAAAGGGACCCTAATTTAGAGAACTACCCATGTAGCAACTCTGCTGGGTCTCCAGTTCCCTGTGTATGAGTCATCCGTCAGGCGGGGTGCTAGGGTTCGAACGCACCAGAGAGGTTGTCAAACTTAGGTGTCGTTTGTGGAAGGGTCCGTATACGATGGTCAGATCATATGTCATCGTTTTCTGAGCCCCAGCTGTTTGGAGTGTTGAGTTTTTTGCTTCCGAGTGGTCCCTATGCTGCTAACTCTGGGGGCCTCCTGGTTGTCTTTCTGCGGATCAGATCTCCGAAGCTACATAGTGCAAAGCCCTTTCAAGCCAACCTGGTTTTGGTTTTGGGGTGCCCTAAACCCTAAATCAAAAACCTGTAAAGGGAATGGCAAGTAAAAATAAATGGAGTGTTAAAAAAAAAGAAGCAAACACCCCTGAAGGGAATGGCCAAAGTCTTAAAGTGAAATGGTGGGGCTCAGGGTTTCTATGCAGTGCCCACGCATCGTACACGTGGCTTCGCTAGAGAGCCGAAGGCTCAACGTTGCCCCTAACAAGAATACCAATAATAAGTTAATAGCAGTAACAAAACTACTAATGGTAGTTATATTCGTAGCAACAGTAAGGTACATAGATAAGTATGTATATATATATATATAGGCATAAGACCCAAAACCGTGGCGTTCACGAAGGGACCGGTGAAGGGTCGGCGGGTTAATGGCCGGATCTTCGTCATTGGTCCTTTACTCGTCTCGTAGTTTCGTGCTGGGGCCTGGTGTGGAGCAAATTCGTCACCCGCAGGTGAGGTTGCAAGCATGTCGTGCCTTCTCCGCTGGCCCCTGAACCCTAAATGGGAGTTTCCAAAAATTAGGGTACCTTCTTCTGGGGTCCTTATGATAAGGGTCCTACTATTTGGGGTACTATATTAGGGTCCCCTATTTTCGGAAACTCCCAAATCCTGAACTCTCAACCCTAGCACCCTGTCGCGACCCCAAATGAAGCTTGGAAGCTCTCGGATTCAAAAACCCTAAACCCTAAACCCTAAACCCGAAACCCAAGTAAGGTCCAAAACAATTGGAACCTTCCGCAGTGGAAGCACCATCGTTTGGAGCTCAAAGCCTGCAGTTTCCCAGAGACTCAAAAACCCCTTAAATTAAGGAATAGGGTTTTGGGTTTAGGGTTTAGGGTTTAGGGGCCCGATTATACTTTAAGGTACATTCCTCAATTAAGGGGTTTTGTAGTCTCTGGGTTCCTTGCCGTTCAGTTACTCCTGAATTCCAGTAAAGTTATAGTCTATAATATGTATCGTATAGAAACCGAGAGACCCTAAACCCTAAACCCTAAACCCTAAACCCTTAGCGCTCCTCAGCCTAATGTTAAAGGCCCGTTGATAGTGGGTCTTGGACTTTCGAAACTTTCGGATCCTGGGGCTTGAGTTGAAGTTCCGGAATGAAAGAGGGGTTGGGGTCCGGGGCTTGGGACTTGGATTTGGTTTTTTGGGGGGGGCTTGGGTGTTTTGGGGTTCGGGTTTTTGGTTTGGGGATTAGGGTTTGGGCGGTTTGGCGTTTCCTACCGTGGCACAGCGCATAGGCGACAGCATCTTGCGACAAGGCCTGTCCAAAGGAGGCGCCATCCAAATAGTTGGAGTAGGGTTTTGAGGTGAGCACCCTAAACCCTAAACCCTCTAAGCCGTAGCGGCACACTTGGAAAGAAACGTCCAGTTCCTGTCGGCCTTAACGCAGCACGCGAGTTAAATAAGACACGTAGCCCCACGTCTGCTCCAACTCACCTACATGACACGCATGCCTTACGTGAAGCGCTACAGTAAAGCCTGAAAGGTGCCAAGCTCTTAACCATCTGCAAGACCATAGCTCTTCATCCTTCGGACGTAAAGCCCTCAACCCTTCAACTCAACCCCACAAGCCCTAAACCCTAAATCCTTAACCCTAAACCCTAGACCCTTAACCCTAAACCCTAAGTCCTTAACCACCCTATCCTCTCTAAGGTGCTCTCTGAGTTTGATTCCCCCTTGAGGCCCTAAACCCTAGATTCACACACCGACAAGCCCCGAAACCCTTCCCCATACCCTACACCCCAGGTTGGGAAGAGTTCTTGGAGGTTAGTATCGGCGTGGCGAAGCTTTGCTCAACATCAGGGCCGAACAGAAATCAGCTTTTGGTCCCTTTCTTCGGATCTAGGGGCTCCGGGTTTAGGGTTTAGGGTTAGGGTTTAGGAGTTTAGGAGGTTTGGGTTTAGGGGTTTAGGAGTTTAGGGTCCTGTTTTTTGCAGAATGAAGGGGCCTGATTTGCAGGGACCCGAATTATTTATTACAAAGACTCGTGTGGTAGTCCTTATTATGATCCCTCAATATACTTGTATAGCAGGATATCCCTACTCCAAGCCTGTAAACTCTAAACCCCATAAACCCTCAATCCCTAAGCCTCTAAACACTACACCCAGAACCCTAACCTTCATTACCTTATACTACTGTAGGGTCTGCTTGGCACGATTATTTACGGGTGCTTCGGAGTTTGGGGGCTTGCGTTGTAGTGTAGATGCCTTAATAATTGGAAGAGGGTTCTGGGGCCTTATACTATAATTATAACAAGGAGTCCCCCGCATAGGATAGGTATTCAGGGAGTGGTGCTCGGGGTTCAGGGTTGACTATATGGCTGTTGGGAGCAATGAGTAGGGAAGTCTGGAACAAGAGTTGCTGGTGGTGTGTTAGTCCAAACCGCTGATCACAACACCCTAGACTCTTCACCAATCTAAGCCGTAAAGCCTACCCTAGTTAACTTGAGCACATATTTCCGCTACTATGTCTTTTTCCCCACTTAAATCAGTGAACTTCCACTTGTCCTTGAAGAACAAACTCGACCTCGAACAGCAAACATACTCCAACGAGTGAGTGCTTAGGGTTTTCGCGATTGCGGATTGTGTTGCAGCAGCGGGCAAGCCGCAGTTTTGGATTAACGCTTTAGCACTGGTGAATCCACGTCCTCCAAAAGAGTAGGCCTTAAATTCACCGATACATTCTAATCCGAAGCAAAAGCCCTTACAACCCTATGCCCACGCCCGTAAGGAAACCCTCAAAGGAACCCTAAAGGGAACCCTTATGACTGCAATTAGGGTTTCCTTCAAGCGTTTTCTGCAGGCGAACCTGAGGGTAGGGTTTTGGGTATCTAAGACTTTCGGGCTTTAGGGTTTAAGGTTTGGGGTGTAGTGTTTTGGGGCCAGGGTTTAGGCCCTAACCTTAACCCCATGAAGCACTAAAGGCCGTAAAGGCCTAAACCCTGGCCCCAGAACGGGTCTCGGGTTTTGAGCTCGGTACGATGGCCAAGTTCCAGGATTGTGGTGGAGGTGCTGCTGACCCTTAGAGTCCTTGGAGCGGGTGGCTCAGAGACGTCCCTTCCTAGGATTCGGAAGCATATATATATATACATATATATATATATATATACACATTATATATATATATATATATGTATATATATATATGTATATATATATATATGCCAAATACTTGTCAAGACTCCCTTATCTAATTTCATAGGACCCGAAACCCAACGCTACCTTCTTAAGGTTTCTAACCCAGGCACCTCTAGTGGGAGGGAGAAGCTTTAGGGTTTCTGGGGCTGAGAGGCTTCGGGTTCGGGGTTGTTTTGGGCTGCCGTGCTGTGGGTTTCAGGAAGCTTCGTAGTCGAGTAGGTAACTTTTACTAAGCATTTGAGGATTTTCCTTAAGTTGGACAATGCTGCTTATCGTGATTTATGAATTTATTGTTCTCTGGTATCGCATGTGGTTCTCAGGGCCGCACGTCTAGCCAGCAGTTTGTGCCGTCCATGACATGCTGCGCATCACACTGCTGAGCGGAGAAGAACTGACGAGCATTGCTGTTGAGGATGTGCGCGATGTGAAGGCCTTGAAGCAGCAACTGAACAAGATGTACGGTCTGCCACCGCGATTCAGACAAAGTCTGCTTCACCACGGCCTGACTTTGGATGATTCATTCAATCTGGATTTGCCGATGGACCTGCAGGTAGTGCTCACGACGTTCGCCGAGCCGTCCGACAGCCATATGGAGCAGCTTATCTTTGCAGCCAAACATGGCTTCGTGTCCGAGGTGGGGCTGGAAATGAGTACTTACTTTGTACTCATCTCTTTGTTTGGGCACATGAAATGTTAGGGTTCGCCTTAGGACCACAGCTACCTCGAGCAGTAGGAAGAGCAAGTTCGAAAAGAGAAGAAGTCGATTCCGGCCGGGCTTTGCGCTAAGAAGGTTGTGGAAACAGCCGCAAGAAGTGAGAGAGGATCAGACTAAACCCTAAACCCTAAACCCTAAACCCAGACAAGTCAAGTAAGCGCAACACGAAGTTCTAGAACCCCCCGAAGCCTAAGAAGTCATCAGGTTGAGGAGCTGCTGCTGCTCCCCATGGACCCGGATGCCGTGCCGTCGTTCCCAGCTGGCGACGATCGAGTGCAGCATATGCGTACTCTCCGGCTTTTCGAGCCCGAATTCAGCGAATCCACAGCGCTGATTCTGGCGGCAGGAATGAATCATCCAGAAGTCGTGCAGCTGCTGCTGGAGGCTGGTGCGAAAGTGAACTGCGCCAATCCGTGTCATGGTGCGCACGAGCATGCTTTTGCCCTTCTGTTTTGAGGGGTGGCTTTGTGAGGGCTGAATAGCAGGAAGCACGTATGTTTAAGGGGAAAAGTATCTGGTAACCCAGGTGTGGATGGACAGCACTGCTGAGTGCGTCAAAAGGCAGTGGTGCTCAGGTCGTGCAGTTGCTCCTAGAGGCAGGTGCAGACGTGAACCACGTGATCTGCCCCTTTTGGGGGGTTGAGGACAACGAATTCAACGGATGCACGGCATTGATGCTCGCAGCAGAAAGCGGTCGCGCTCAAGTCGTGCAACTGCTCCTAGAGGCACGAGCCCACATGAACTCAGCCAATAAGCTTGGATCGACGGCATTGATGGAGGCGACAAGAAACGGTCAAGCCCTAATCGTGCAAATGCTCCTAGAGGCAGGTGCTCGCGTGAACTCAGCCGATGGGCATGGATCGACGGCATTGAAGAAGGCCAAGGGGACAAGAAGAAACCAGGACCAAATCTTGCAAACACTCCTGGAGGCAGGTGCTCAGACGGATCTTCATGGCGGCGAGGGCTACACCGCCCCAGATCTGGCGAACAACACCTGGACCTAAACCCGAAACCCCTAAACCCCGAAGCCCCTAAACCCTAGAACCCTAAACCCTAAATCTTATCTTCAACGCAGTTTGCCGACTCTGGTAAGCTGGTGGAGCTGACAGAAAGATGCTCAGCTCAGGTCTGCTGATGAAAGTCTTGCCAATCCCTGAATCATTGACTTATAGGGGTTCCCTTTAAGGCTTCTAAGGGATCTAATTATAGTAGAAGCCCAAAAGTTGGAAACCCACTAGCCTCAACCCTTAAGAGTGATATATAGGGAATCTCAGCACTATTTGTCCTTAATCCGGTTTCCAACTTTTTGGGGTTTACTATATAGGGGTTTCCTCTAAGGGTTCCTTCTTTTTAAGGGATCTATAGGGGTTCCCTTTAAGGCCTTCTGTTTAAGGGATCCTTAGGGGTTGAGTAGGTAACCTTTAACCCTTTGGGGATCTTATAATCCTACTGTAATTCGAAGGGTTTACCTTTTTTGGGGCTAGGGTACTCAGCCCCTAAGTTGAAGGCCTTGCTAGTCTTGAGGCCCTCGGCCAAAAAGATCCACTACCATCAGCAAACGGTGACCTTGGCCCAATTCTTGAACCAACTTACCCCGAGCACAAATTATGGGAACTCCGCGTAGCATATTGATGCAGGACTCAGGGCCTTGTCTAGGGTTTAGGGTTTAGGGTTTAGATTGTATTTCTCGCGCTGCCGGAGTCCACGCTAGACCGTTGGACATCAGGCCGGCCATCCAAGATGGTACTGACCCTAAACCATAAACCCACAATATGGGAGTTTCTGAAAATTAGGGTACCTTATTTTGGGGTCCCTAAACCCTAAACCCTAAACCCCTAAACCCTAAACCCCTAAACCCTAAACCCCTAAACCCTAAACCCAAACCTTATAATAAGGATCCTACTATCTCAGGTAGGGTCCCCTATTTTCGGAAAAACCCCCCATATGGGCATCAATGCTGGTTCTTGCGGGGCGAGCAAGGAAGCTTCTAAGTTCCTTAAGTGGATTTCTAAGTAGAAATATAGGTAGTTGTCAAAATTATGGTTCCTTTTGGGGTACCCTAAATAATAGGTGCCGTATTATAATAAAGACCCAAAAAGGGACCATAATTTTGACAACCACCCATATAGTTACCTGCATGATTAATGCCCCCAGTTTCTAACAATGATCCTTTTAGTATAGACCCGATCGAAGCCCGAAACCCTGAACCCTACACGCCCTGGGCTTGAAAATCTCGGCTTCAAGACACAGGGAGAGCGTAGCCCTAATGCCTAAACCAACTTCCCCAGTTTAGAGCTTAGGGTTCGGGGTTTGTAGGGTTTAGGGTTTAGGGATTTAGGGTTGAGGGCTTGGGGTTTGGGGTGTAGGGCCATTACGGTATGCCCCTCAACCCTAAAGCCCAAACTCCAGAGCCTAAGCCCTAAACCCTAAATAAAGCCTAAACCCTAGAGCCTAAGCCCTAAACCCTAAACCCTAAAGCCCAAACCCTAGAGCCTAAGCCCTAAACCCTAAACCCTAAAGCTTATCGCAGGGCAGAGTGGCATCTTCCAAGCAAAGCTCCAACCTGAAGTCTGACCTGTTTTTAATATGGGTCCTAGTATATTGGGGTTATAGGGCCAGGGTTTCTTAATCAGGTTCCTACATTAGGCTTAAATACTTCATGGTAGTTTAGGGTTTAGGGCTTAGGGTGTAGCTGCAGTAGCACTAGCAGCCACCGCTTTCGCTCTAGCATCGGGTTCCAGGGTATTGAGGTTTTCGAACAAATTAAAATGGGATTTACTGGTCGGCAACGTAGGTAGGGCAACTCCGATTGGAAGAGCCGCGCTGGCCCGCCAGTGAAAACTCCCCCAAGGCACAGATAATGGGCTTTCGTTCTAAGTTGGTGTCTGTTTGCATCATCGAGGGCCACACCCTAAGCCCTAAACCCTAAACTACCATGAAGTATATTGAAGCCTACCCGCTGGCATACCTGTATGCTTCTCTGCAGGGCTCCTGCTGGCATTTTCATTCGCTTCTTTGCCAGAGACTACAAAAATCCCGCTATGCAGAAAATCCCTTTAGCTACATGATGCTACGGTTGATGCTATAAATCCGGCATTACCCATAATAGGGAATATAATTCAGAATTCCCACAGTTTAGGGTCCTTGCGGCACTGCAGGATTTATATCATCAACAGTCGGAAGCCAAACAAGGCATGTTCCTGAAAGACAGGTTTTGGAGTCTCTGGGTTCCTACAGCCTCCGTCTCAGGCCAAGCAATTTTGGTCGAAGCTCGAAGCCGTAAAGCCTCGCATCCGGAAGCCAAGAAAGAGAAGCGCTGAAGCGTCCCATACAAAGGCGACCTTAAACCCTAAACCCTGAACCCTTAAACCCCTAAACCTAAAACCCTAAACCCTAAACCCTAAACCCTGAACCCTGAACCCTTTAACCCCTGAGCCCTAAACCACCAAAACACTGAGTGCCTAACTCCCCAAAAACCCCCGAGACTCTGCCAAAGGTCCGGGACTTCTTCGCAAACGGCTGGTGCATCTTTGACGCGCTGACGCCTCGGTAGATATGGATGTTGCTTGTGGCTTGCAGAGGCAGCATAGCCGATCCAGGCTCCAGGGTTAGGGTGATCATTTGGGTCTTGCATGTTGCGCATTTTTTCCATCATGGCTTCTGGGGATAACGCTCGGCGTATGTGTTCTGTGTCTGCATGGGTTTGTGATGACCCTGGTCCACAAGCGACGCCACTGGGCGGGAGATCATCGAGGAGAGAGGCCGCTTACGGAAAGAGGCGGGCTCCCTCAGGAAGAAGAAGTGCCAGCTCGCACTGCTGAAGAACAAGGACGGCTGGGCCCAGCCGCTGTCCAAAAGCTCGGCGAAGACATGTGCAGGAGCGCTTAACAGCAGCCACCGACAGTTCGTGGTCAGTTTGGATTTGTGGGAGGAGACGGAGACCTCGCACGTGGCACGGGAGCCAGTGGAAGCCTCGCAGCTGGAGTCTTCAAGTGGCTCACCAGCCAAGGCAAGGTCCTGGCTTGCGATGGCTGTCTTAGGGTTTAGGCCATTTACGATGGCCTCGGAGGTCGCATTGTTTGGTGGAGGAGGACTCCATGCTTTCCACTGCTGGCATGACGCGACTAAAGCTCCCAGCAGCGCAAAGTGTGGGGTGCAAGCAGCTCTCCCGAGGGCCTCTTTCTGCGATTGCCGTTCCCATAAAGCCCTGTAGGCCTATAGACCCTAAACCCCTACAGCCCCAAACCCTAAACCTGGATTGAGCCCCACGTCTTTGAGGATTCGCACCCTCAGGGCCTGAGGGTGCTTGGGGTAGAAGTAGGCGGCTAGGTGACTGCGCGACTCGCCACACTCTCCATTGCACCTCACTGCATTGAACGTGTATTTGCAAAATCAACGGAGGTACTTAATGTAGGAGCCTTCGTAATTAGAATAGGGTACTGGGTAAAAAATCTATAACTCTAATGAGGAAGTCCCAAAATAGTATAGGTAATTATTAAGACCTCTATATAGTACAGCTCTGTTCTTGAAGGCACTGAGGCGCGGTCGGCCTGGCAGACAGATGTCGGGTCGTGGTGCACGCAGCCAAACTAAGATGTGTATCGTGTATGGTATAGTTTAGGGCCTGGGTTTAGGGTTTAGGAAGTTTGGGGCCTTTCAACTCGTCGCTGCGTTCCTTGACCATGAGTCGGACTCGCGGATTTAGGGTGTAGGATGTAGGGCTTAAGGTTTATAGGGTTTAGGGTTGACCCCAAGCTCTGAGCCCTACGGGGTTAGTTCTCTAAATTAGGGCCCTTCTTCGGCCCCCAATATAGTGCGGCACACCCTAAAAGGGATCCTAACTAGGAGCACTACCCACATAGGGTTTCGGGTTTCGGGATTGGGTTTAGGGTTTAGGGTTCGGTATAAGCCCCTTACAGACTTCTTCTGCAAGAGCCCAGCCCGAGGCTGCTTGGAGGATCCTTAGACTTAGAAGTATGGTTAAGTTATCAGAAGTCATAAGCACCTTAATTGGGGTATTCTAAGTAGTATAGTTACCCTCATAATCATCTTAGTTACTAAGTCCCCATGATCCATCAAGTAAACCACCGGACCATCTTCATTTCTGCAAGGATAGTCGCCATGCTGACGGTCGCCTCGGACTCAGATCGCATCTTCGGAGGTCCTAGGTAATGGTTCTTATACGGTTCCATAAGGGAGCTTTAAAGCGTTAAGCGTTTTGATAGGGGTTGTTCTACACCAGACGCTCGGTTCAGGATTGGTACAAGTTTTTGGGTTGACAAAATGAAGGTTAGAGTTTTGGGGCCATGAGTCATGAGTGTCCTAAACGGGGATAAGCTATTTGCGACCTTACTAATCTTGTAATAAACATACTTTCTAAGTCGCATGATCCTTCTAGTAGCTCCTAGAGTGTATGGTCCTCACTCCGCAAAAGCTTTCGAAATTGCGTTTACAAGGGCGGCTTGCAATGCGATGAGAAAGGCGTCTAAAGTGCTTGAGTATGAGGGATTGGGTGGTGCTGTATGTGGCTTTTTGTGTGCTGGCGGGCTTGGATTGGGGTCGGCGGAAGTCAGTCCTATTCTCACGTGGACAATGTATGAGTCTCCGAGTTTCGGATTCACGATACTTGGGACGCTCCTGACGAGGCCTGAAAGGATCACGCTGCAGAGAGAAGGCAATGTGGAAGCGCTTTAAGAGTGAAGTAGGTTTCACCACCAGCACCCACCGCCACCAACGGTGCACGCACCAAGGCTGCAACCTCGACATGCTAAGCCTCCATGTATTCTTACACCCAAACCGACATCCGAAACCTTGGAATCCATGCCACGAAGCGTAAAAGCCCTCTTGAGCACCCAAAATTGCTGACGAGCAACATATGGGTAGTTCTCTAAATTAGGGTCCCCGTTTAGGTCCCAAAATAGTACGGCACCCTTATAAAAGGGACCATAAAAGGGACCCAAATTTAGAGAACTACCCATATCAAACCAGAAAAAACCGAAAGTGC